TCACAACAAAAAAAAATTGGTCAATTACTATAAAGTTACTCAAAAGTTATCCCTGGTATTTGATGCTTGTTCTTCCATGTCACTTATTATACAGCCACATTCTCATTTCTACGCTAAGAAATCCTTAGAGCTATTATAAAAAATTGTTTTCTAATTAATCATGTGATTAAAATATTAATCCTTCTATGACTTTACATAACTGCAGATATATTGTATATGACAATTACATTTTAAAATAGCTCAACAAGTAAAAATATCTAAAAGGCTTAAAAAGATACCAGTTTAAGTCAGTAACTTTTAAGAATTAAATATTTAAAGTATCACTTCAGGGAACAACAAACCATTTCTTACCTACTTCTGAGATTCACCCAGTATTTAAGTACAGTTCTGAGCAATTTTTAAAACAGTGGCCTGTCACAAAATGGAAATAATTGTTCCCATAGTTTTGATCTATCTCATGGAAAGCCATCATCATTCCATTTATGATCCATGGGAGCTATTTGTTCTCTGAATTCAGAACACAAGCTCACTAAACTGTCAAAGCAAAATCAGATACCTGAGACTAAACTACTTCACAGTGCATATTCATTAAATGCATGGGAGGGGATAACACCCTCCTGCCTCATATATACATATTTAAGCTACAAAATACCTTCCACACATGCTGGCATTTCATAGCAGCTTTAGGATAGATCCAGAGAATCCCTTCACCGAGACAACCACATCATGACCTTCCATGGCCAGCTCACTTTTTCTGCTTTTATCTTTAAGTCTGTGCAAGTTTGAAGATTATTTTCAAGCATGAAATGCAACACAAGTACAGGTTTAAGGGTCACATTCACACTTGACCTAGAGTCAGTTGAGGTATTCAGCTGATCAAATAGCAAGGTGTATTAAATCACCTTGAACTCCATTGCCTAAGCTGACAAGATCTCATTCCATTAACTGCAGTATAGACATCCAGCATCCACATAGACTCCTACCTATAGGTAACTTGATTTAGAACTGAATGCTACCTCAAAAAGTTGAGCCTTTTCCTACAAGGTTGCATAAAAGCCCTAGCCTCTCTAATTCTTGCTTTTAGCATGTGTCCGAGTTACAACAGGATTGCAGACAGCATTGCCAATGCATATTCAAGCCTCACCTAAATACCTCAAATTTCCTTATCACAGCAATTCAGACTTCTCAGAGGGATCTGTAGAGCTGGACCAACCTGAAAAATTCATTAACAAGATTGTACGCAATTGTATTTTGAAAAGACTTGACTGGACCTGCAATCTGTAGTGGAGTTTCCACAAGGTTTTGTCTTACCAAGACTGTCATCACATCCAGACTTTTTTTAAATGCGTACAGGAGTCTAAAGAACACAAATGAAGTGAATTCAAATGTACAACCAGCCTCAAGTAGAAACTGAACATAACTCCTGGTACTATCTTAAATTATTTCAGAAAGCAGACAAAGTTCAGGCTGTCTTGATTATTCCATCACTTATCAAGGCCCAGACAGAAAAACACTTATGCCAACTAGCTCTAGCATGAGCTATTAGGCCTGTTAACACTGACAAGGTTTAAGCAAGACAAGAGGTCCCAGCTAAAGGATATAATGTATAGCACCACAGAAGCAACCAAGAGCAGTTAGGCAGGAGGCAAGTTAAGCACAACACCACAGACACCAACTGTTTGTGCACTAAACAGAAGACCAGAAACTCTTAAGGCTTTTTCATGGAGAGCAAAGATGCCCAAAAAAGTAAAATACCTATTTTCAATCTGCAGTCTATCAGATTCTTTTCTAACAGAAACCCAGCTGCTCTGAACTTCAGCTGAATAGCTTTCTGCTGCAGTTAACCTGTCACCTTCCAGGGCTGTCAGAGGTAACAAGGCTGAATTTGCACAGGACCCAGCTATGAGCCCATGAGAATATATCTGACAAGACAGGTAATGTGAGCAGGCATTACAACACCAGGCTGATCAGATCAGAGCTAGGACTTCCTGACCTGTGTTGAGGCTATTATTTATTCAATGAGTCAGAGAGAAGTTTTAAAGAAGGAAAGGACAATGAAATACTTAAAGGAAACTTAGTTAACCCTGTGTCAGGTCCAGTAAGCTGTTTGAATGGGGCAGTGCACTGGTTGGTCCAGAGACCACATTTATCAAAAAATTATGATTGATATTTCATTAATCCTATCTATATACCTAAAGAGCAGAGACATCATTGCTTGCCAGAGTCACTGGCATATATAAACAGAATACTTTCTGCTAGAAAAATCACTTACATTTGCAGTTAGTTTCATTTTGAGATATTAAACCCTTTTAAGGACTTAACTTTAGTAACTTGTTTATTCGATCCTGTTTTTAAACAGGATCATTCATCTGGGGAAGCACTATTCTATTCATAAAGTTGAAACAAACTTTGGTTTTCCTGACCACTTTCTGGATACCCAAGTTTGTCAGATTCAACCCTAACTGGTACCCAATGCTAATTTCACAGATTTATCAATTATTGTAGTGATTTGGTCAGCTTCAAACAGCAGATTCTCAATTCACTAACACCAAAAAGACTCTAGCTCCTGAAAGACTGGAAGTTATCTTTTTTTGTTGAAGATTAGCAATATAACCACATTGGTGTGGACTGCAGACACACAGAAACAGATGCCTGCTTGCTAGAACTGCTCTAAATTCCATATTTAGATGGAGAGCTTCTTGCACAGATTTCATCTGTATTAAGACTTAAGTTTCATTCTTCTCAAGCATTTGTCAGTCCTCATCAGTAGGAAGGAGAAAATTGCTCTTAAGTCAGAACCAAATCTTTTAACCATTTTTGAGAAACTATCACTTGGTAATCTTCTACAAATGACACATTTACACTAATACTAACACCTCTTGTAGGCAAAATGGTCTAGGAAACTACATACATGCGCAGAAGAGCATAGAGGCATAAAGCATTTGCATGAAGCATCACTTCATGCTTTATAAGCATCACATAATACTTTTTGCTTAAGTTCTATAGAATCTGAATACAGCTCAGTGATACCAAGATGACTGGCAGAATTCCTTGTCTACCCCAAAAGACTTGGAAAAGCATCCCTAATTTCTGAGCGCTCCTCTGAACACACCTAACAGGAAGATTAGCCTTCAGAGCAAACATTAGGATCCAAATTGACTTTGTTCCCCTGTGTACAGGCATTCAAAACTCACATCACTCACTGCAAACTACAGTATTCCAGGATAAGGCTCTCAGTTTGCCATGTTGAAGCTATGTCACTTCATACAGTGTATTTAAATTTATTAGTTCTCAGAAATAAAACTGCAAGACTGGTTTTAATAAAAAGTGATATTAAACTGCAGTGACTGCTTGTGGTTTAGGGTGGGTTTTTTCAAAGAAGATCTAGAGTACCTGTCATAAGTCTGACTTTATACTCCCAGACTATACTTATACAGTGAGAAGTTTAATGCCTTTTGACTATCCAGAATTTTTAATGAGTACGCTTTAACATAAATATCCTTCTATGTAATAAAATGGAATTTTCTGAAAATTGAACCCCCTATATTGGGGTAAAAATATTCTTAAATAGAAAATACCTAGGATTTTATTCACTCTGGCAGAAGGGAAGTTTGTGCAAGTAGAGATATTCTTTTCTGTGGAGAAAGTCTTAGTGGAGACACAGGAACTCACATGGCATATTTATTTTACACAACAGTTGTACTCTGTGCTCCCTGAAACCTAGTGGTCTAAACAGAGACATACAGGATTACATACCTGCCCATTCAACAGATAGCAAGGGCTTTCCTACTAGCTGTTCTAAATAAGAATTTCAGTGTTTAGTCCTTTAATGAAAGTTGACACTATGTAAAGAAGCAGAAGCATCTTTCTAAAGGCCCTGTTTTCCCTCTTAATATCCATTTTGCCTGTTTTTCCCTTGAGTTCAAGTATCAACATCTATAAGAAAAACATCCTGATTACAAACACAGACCATGTAAACTTCCTCTATATTTTACCTTTCCATCTTTATGTTTCTCTATGTTTGTACACTGCTCTTGCCAGTGATAAAGATGACTTAAGTCAGGGTTCCAAAGAGGTGCCCACATATAAGTGGTATGCAATCTTGAATTCACCAAAGCAGTACTTCATGAAACTTTGAACAGCAGTAAAGCAATCCCTGCAAGTTATCCAGCATAGTCTGAGGAAAACACTGACAGTGTGGAAAAATATCTAAAGAAGTCTTCCTGAAGAAATAGAGGAAGGAATAAAGGAAATCTTTTTCTTCCATGAGTAGAAACAGAAACAAGTCTTGAAATTTCTAGTAGGAAGAAAAAGCCATTTCAAGTGAAAAAAATGCTAATTTGGTTCTCATATTTAAAATTTAAAATTTAAAGAGAACCAAAGGAACAAAGTTACACAGCCTATTCAATGTTGAGTAAATGCTTCCAGGTAGCAGGATAATACTTGGCAGTAAAGAAGTGTTAAGAATTAATGGTGGTCAAGGATATTAACAAAACAGTCCCTACCCCTCCAGAATATACTACATAATTTAGGAGTATAGCTATAACTAATTCAAGACTAACAATGGTTGAACTAACAATGGCTGAAACTTAAGAGGATGAGAAGGAAGAATTTACACAGCAAGTTTCCTTTAATGGAACATTTTAAGCTGCACTTCTCTATCTACAATGAGACAGTTTCAAAGCCTGGCAACAAAGTCAATTTAAATATATTCCATTCCTCTTGCTGTTCTGAAGAGGAGGATCCTGCTATCCTGAAAATACAATTGATTTATCATTTGTTCTCCACATACTATTGTTTGTGACAAGCACTACTTTCCTGCACATTTATTCCAACAAGAACCATCTTAGGACTTAAGAACCAACCTTAGGACTTCCACAGAACAGGCTGCAGAACAGAGATGATTAATAGTTTTAAGTGTAACAGTTAAACTAGTTAAGGTATTAGTGGAATATCTTTTATAAGCACTTAGATTTATCAAGTATGAAAGTTGGGCTTACCTTAGGAAATTGTTTTACTGGAATCAAAACTTTTTGTCCCAGCTTCATATTTTTATTGATGACTACATCAATATACTTTTCTTCTTCCTTTCCTTCCCCTTTTTGGAACTTTTCAATTTCTGTTAAAGGAAAAAAGTTAGTTATTTTCTCAGTTTAACATAATCTAAAAGCTGAGAATCTTCAAAGTCAGCATAAATTATAACCTTTAAAACTAATACTATATTGCATAATACATACAGCATATTGTGTAATTAATACTTACAGTTACATAAGCCAATAGCATAACCACGTTTTGCTTGTTCAGTCTATTTTAATATTTACGTTCATATCAGCACCATGAATTAGCATTGCAAGCATTTTAAATGCTAACTTTTAACTTAATGCTTAAGATACATTTTACAACTCAAGCAGTAAAAACTCTTCTTAGATAACTTTATTCACTTTTAAATTTGAAAACTTAGAGCATAATTCAATACTTTATTCCTCTATACTATAAACAAAGTATGGAGTTTTAATGGTGGTTGTCTACAGCACACTTATGAGCAAGTGTCATATCAATCTTTCAAAATTTTAGGAATGTAATTGAGGCACACAGATCACCTAAAAATCTGAGATTAGTGTTGTATCAATGACAACAGAAAAACTCAGGCTGCACAACTACTCAGTCTAGAGAATTATAATCAAGAATCAGTTCTGTATGTAATTCTCTCCAAATATTGACCCTCCAGCATGCTAATGAAAAATAGCAGATTTAGCTTCATTGGTGGGGAAACTTGAACATAAAAGGAGACTACAAATGAAGCACTGCTTGAACCCTTTGCTGGATTGGAGTCCAGCATGTTGTGAGTTGCTGTGTTAAACATGTTAGCACAGGACATTGCAAAATCCAATCCATTTCAGAAGCACAAGAGTAGTTCTCCTACAGAGATCTAGCATTTGTCCGCCCAAATCTTTAAATATCTTGTTAACTTTTCACAAAACACTCTTCCACTCTACTTAACCTGCAGAAATTAGTGAAATTTATCAACACCTTGAAGTGTCTTTAGTGGGAATGTGATGTTATGTCAACAGAAGACAGTAACAAAAAATTTGAGTGCAAAGAGACTCAAAAATATAAAAGAAAGTATCCCTGAAGTGCACTTTAAAAGACAATTTAGTCAGAAGGAGTAGTAACATAACACATTTCTTATTACTGAAAAAACCCATGCATCATCAGCAGCTTTGTTTAATACCAGTCCATTCCCATTTAGCACAAAAATGATGATGCTAACATCTTTCCCAATAACTGAAACTCCAATGCTATGCAAGTTTTTGCCTTAGTAGCACAGAACAGGAAATGCAATTGCATTTATTCAAGCTAGTGTTCAGTGACTGAAGAACTAAGCAAGCCACACTAGCCTCAGACTACCTAAAGGCTTCTGAAACAACATCCTTCCAAATCTTCTTGGCAAGTCCCTAGGAAGTTTGATTCATAGGGATTCTAGTAAGGTAAACAATCTTGAGTCCTAGTCTGTAAAGCAATCTTCCTCTAAAGTATCTTAAGTTGCAGCATGCTCAGAAAAAACTTCAAATCCCTCAGCCCACAGGCTGATAACTACTGAGAAACATATTTTAACAGCTGAATCCAAGTAAAAGTGAAATTCAGATGTTTTTAGACACCACTTCAAGGACTAGAGAAGTATGGGTAATTAAGTGATCCAAAGTGCCATTGAAATTCATTTCCAGATGAAATTAAGACTGAAATTTTATAGGTCACGATGTTCCCACTCAAAGCAGGTGACTGGTATTTTTCAGCAGTCAAAGTTTTGAATATCACATTCAGACACAGAAGTGTAGTACTATCACAGCCACCCCAAATAAACTACTTTTAACACCCCTGATTCCTGATACAACAAAGGCAGTTATGATACAGCTCTGATCTCTCTTGAAAAACTAAATACTTAGGTTTGTACATTTTATGAGTAAAACCAGAAACATGACACTGATTAAGGCTGCTGTTGGTATACATTATTACCAGTATAAACACACAAAGCTGTGATCAGAAGTATGCTGTTCAGCAACATTTTATACCAAGAAATACCAAATATTAGTTTATTAAAAGATATCCACTTCGTTATTACTGAAGCAAATGCAGTTACAACAAAATTTAATGACTTCAGTTACTATTGACTTTAAATGTTAGGACTAGAATTTGTTCAGAGTATCAGAAGTGCACAGTTCAACTCTATTCAAGATTAAAAATTAAATTAATGCACTGTACTGTAGTATTTGAGACTAGATCAGTGAAGACTCCTGATAATTAGATTGATACAAGTAAAGGACTTTGTTCTGAAATAATCTAAACTACAAAATAAAAGTACCTTTAACAAAGCCCACTATGTTTTTACGAACTGGTAAAGCTAAAAATTTGATTTCTCCTGTTGAGTCACACACTATTGTACATATCTGCATAGTATGTCATACACTGCAATCCCCTTGCCTACTTGAAAATTTCATTTCATAAAAATTCCATTTCTGTAAGTAATAAGGAATTCTAAATTAGAATCACAATTTTATGAATAAACAGTAGTTTAAAGACCTTCTTAGAAACTACCAAGAAATAAACCTGAGAGTGAGTTTTGCTTCAGGAACATTCAGATGTCTCAAAAGGACTTGTCAAGGTTAAAGTGTATTTGAAGAGTTAAGAGCAGAGTCCTAACAACATTGCAGTAACATTCCTCAGATGAGCTAGCTGCATAAATATCTTAAAAGATCAATACACTTATTTGTATTTCCTAAATATTTTAGCTTACATAAGTTACTTCAATTCAGTATTTGACAAATTTAACTGCAACTTGATTAATGCTAGATATACTCATTCTATAGTATTTTGATTTACTTAATACAAAAAAATTAGAGAGTCATAAAAAGAGTATTTCCTTCTTGTTCTAATAATTGCTCAATTTAAAGTGGCCAAAGTAAATATTAAAACAAATCTGTTCATTACTCCAAACATCAGTTTTCCTACTCCACATAACTACATACTTTTTATTGTCCATTTTAAGAACAATCATTTCTTTATTCTTTAACTTTCACTGTCTATTCAACTTTCCATTTGCTTCAAGAAGCTACTGAAACCTCTAGGGGACTGCCAATCAAGCTGCAAAATGGATCACAATTTCTACCATTTGTTTTAAAGTCAAATGGCTTGGTTTTCTTCTAATAAACAGCCATAGCCCATTGCCATAGCACTATGAAATACAAGAATTTTTCCTAATATGGTCCAAAGTTAATCAAACTGACTTAAGGCTTTATGCATATTCACTGCTATCGTAAGGCTTTTGTTTTGAATGAAAAAAGCCACTGAATTACTGAAAATTTATCTTACATTGAAGCCACATTTTCTCATTTTTCTGTTTTTTCTTGTCACTTCTTTGCATTTTAATCCAAGATGAATATGAAATAAAGTTAAGCATTAGAACTTAAGCATCCATATTTCCACAGCTCATTCAATATCTATCACATACATCAAGTTTTAGGTAATTAGGGAAAAATCATGCCAGATCACACAGGAAATCCAATCAGATTTTCAAGGTCAAATGGATAGTAAGATTTGCCTTTTCCTAATCCTTAGATTACATTCTGTACTCCTTCGCTATATGAAGCAATGACATCTCCTAGATCACAAATAGTAAATAAACATGTGATTAAAGCTTCTCATAATGCTAGAGATTAAAATCTCATGTTCTCAAACTAAGGATGAAGCTAATGCAACAGTCCAGGATTTTAACTGGATGAAGTAATAACTGCATGGATTTTTTTTTCTTTACATTTAATCATAGCAGAGAGATTTAAGCAATGATTACTCCTCAGTTAATTCAAATAACATTGCTAGATACATCAGATAATGACAAAGTAGAATTGTTTCACATTAATCTTTAGGTAGAATTAATCTTCCTGTGGCATAACTACAAGCCAGGATTCCAGCTCCCTCTGCTAAGCCAATAAAAATACTTGTGTTTGATGTAGAACAAAGTGATGCTCTGTATTTGTCTGCAGTAAATCAATATAATCAATGTAAGATCAAAAGTCAAACTCAAAGTTTATTGTATTAAGGACAAATGCAATGTTTCCAAAACACAAGATCAGGAGCAACAGGAACCAGGTAGATTTGTCTGCAAATCCTTAAGAAACATTCTACTATTTTTCTTTTGATTCAGAGTCTTAGACACCCTGCAAAACCCAAATAATTTCATACTCATTTTTTCCACTTCAAATGGAAGAACAAGTGAAGAACCCAAGAATTCTTTGGATTTAGGACATCCAAATGATCATGGCTTTAGAAAACATAAGGTGTTGCAATTCCACTAGAAATAGTTTCCACATTCATTTTCAAAATGAAAATATTGAAATAACATTACCCTTTATAAATCCTCCTAAACAATGCCTGACTGAAACACACTGGAGTGATTTTGGAAATTACTAACACTATACAACAGCAATATATTTTGCTTTATTTGGACAATTCCAATTTTATTAACTTGTAGCTAAGAAACAAACATCAAAATTTAGACCAAGTAAACCACACAAATTTGTTACACAACTACTGAAGGATGCCCAACAATAGCACTTCTCAGTTCATTCTCAAGACTTCAGAATTGTCTTAGAAAAAAGACACCAACACATTATCTTCAGCTGATAAAGCTCTAAGTCCAATTGAAGGCTGTGGAAGTATTATACTTTCCCTGTCTTAACTTCTTGAAAAGGCTTTCTACTATTGACCGTTGCTGGAGATACAACACTGAGGTAGATGGGTCCCTGGTCTGACAGTATGATTAGTTATGGTTTCCACATTAAAAAAATCCAAGTGATGGTACCACAAAAAACAGACTTATTAGTTTGCTTCCACAGGAAGAGGGGGACTCCAAGGCAGTTGTAGCAAACTTTCACAGCAAAAATAGTTTTTTCTGAATGAAGAAAAAACATGGACAATATTGGTTCAGTTTCCTGAAACTTTCTACAATCCTTCCAGCTCAGAGCATCAGTAGTACTTCCGAAGCAGTCTTTTGGATTAAAACATTACTTTACAGAATGCTGGAGAATTTTTTTTTTTTTTACACATGGTATACTGTTTATTTGAAACTTATTGTGGCAAATCCATACTTGTATCTCAGAAGGTACATTTTAAGGACACTTTTCTGAAAACACTGGCAATTAGAACTTTTGCACTGAAGCTAAGTCACAGAAAATCTGCTATGCTGGATGTTGTTTTAATGCTCACAGTCCTTCCATGACTTGGTCTGGTAAATCCAAAGTGCAGTAATCTAGGATGAGACCAACAATAGTTCTAATTTTGATGACATTGACAAGAGCTTAATCTCATTATCATAGCAAAATGGTCTCAAGTGTGCTTCAGATTATACATCTCTCACACTGGACTCCTTTATCATTAACCACCATTAATGGAGTGATTAAATTATCTGAAACAGTACCTCTCCAACAAGTATTTCTTGTTTTTTCAGACAAAAAATAGTACTGCACAAAATGAACTTAAACTAAAATCACCACACTACAGCTCTAATACATTTCCAAAGGCTTTCTGAAATAAAGTCCACATTTCCTGAAGGCAGACTCTAGAAGACCTACTACTCACTGTCTCTGTCCTCTTGATCAGTATGAAGTTGGATGACTCAACTTTTGCACTAAGCAGAAGAAGTAAGTTCAGCCTCAAAGCAGTTTCTCTGTGTATATATATTCACAAAGGATGCAGAATTCCTCAGTTTGAGTTGTATGTAGCACCTCAATATCCCAGAACAATTAAGAGCAGCAACTGAACATCGTCTGATGTAAGTATTTTCCACCCACAAGATTTTTCCAAAGCAAATACTGCTTAGTGTATCTTCAGAAAAAGTCAAACTGGAGAACTAAAGTAATCAAGCAAAACAAAAATAGCCTCAAAAATTTGAAAATAAGGGGGGTAAATACAGTGGAATGGTTATATCTAGATCCTTCTAGAATGAGTCTAAGACTCAAATCAAAAAAGCAATAACATTTTCAATTTTTAATGCAGCTGCTCTGTTACTGCATCCATCCCCATTCTTCTATGAACTTCAGAAAACTCCACTTATCCTCCTCAGCCATTATTTTGATACATTAAAAAGCCTTTTTAAAATCACAAATTTAGCCTCCACAGTAGGTTCTAGTTCTGAACTGGCATAAGCAGTAACACATTAAGAGTAGGAACATAAACTGTGCATAAGAAACATAAGAATTTGTTTCAACAAATGCAATTACTACAATAGTTGAATTCAGAATAACTGTCTTTTATATGCCACCTTAATTTTGTAGCAGCAACTGACAATGAATCTAATTTGAATTTACAATAAAATGAGTGGTTCATGCTAGACTGATGTCTACAACATTCAGCATACTCAAATTAATAATAATATCCCTGTTGAAGGACTTAAACCAATCTTTATTTAAATTGCATTCACAGGCATTGTAAGTTCTATTTTACAGTTTAAGTACTACTGTCTGCACTGATCTGAAAATACATTTCAGTCACCAATATGACAAATATTTTGAATAGGCCTTTTTATTTAAGCAATTCAAAGCTAATTGAACACCTATTACCTTCACTTCAAAAATGACTCCACTAAAATCTGTTCAGACTGATTAATATTAGCAATAAAGTAGAAAGTACCACAGTAGAAACTGTCAAAAGTAACACTAAGATATTAACAGATGTTCAGTCAGTCTTGCTCAAGAAAAAACAAGATGTAAACACAGGCTTCGCTCTTCTATACCCACCCTACTCCACTGAAAATTACTATTTATTTCACTGTTAAGAGAGTTTCTGAACTTATAACAAAGTGCTACGATTTCCTATGATTTACCTACTGTTGACAGCTTTCTTCAAACATGAAGATTTCTACATTACCAAGGTCAGGAATCCACTAACTACAAGAATTTCAGCACATTTGTTGGATAACTTCAAACCAAAAAAAATTCCAAAGGCAACTTAAATATATATACATGGAAAAACAGTGCCCAGTGTCCTACACTCAAGTACTTCAAACTTGGATGCTACATCCTATCAAGACAAAAATACTTGACTGCCATACTCCTCCCTGCTTCAGGAACACCTAATCTGGCTGCCTAAATATTGGCAAGAGCATTGGCTTTTCTCCTGTTTAGAGCAGAAGACTAGACCTTCAGAGGTTTCTTAAAGCCTCAGGCACTTTACAATCCTTCCTATAATAAAGCATCTGAAGAGGCACTCCTACTCTCTTGTTTTTAATCTACCATATCTACTGCACAATAGCCTGCAGTAATACAGTTCAGATTCACAGCTTGGTAGGGGTTGGAATGCACCTCTAGAGATCATCTAATCCAAAGCCCCTGTTAGAGCAGGATCACCTAGAGCATGATGCACAGGATGGCATCCAGGCAGGTTTTGAGTATTTCCACAGAAGACTCTACAACCTCTCTGGGCAGCCTGTTCCAGTGCTCCGTCACCCTCAAAGTAAAGAAGTTTTTCCTCATGTTCAGATGGAACTTCCTGTGTTCCAGTTTGTGCCCATTGCCCTTTGTCCTGTCACTGGGCACCACTGAGAAGAATGTGGCCCCTTCCTCTTGACATCCACCCTTTAGATATTTGTAAGCATTGTTAAGATCCCTCTCAGTCTTCTCTTCTCCAGGCTAAACAGACCCAGCTCCTTCAGCCTTTGCTCAGATGCTCAAGTACCTGAATCATCTTTGTAGCCTTCTACTGGACTCTCTCCAGTAGTTCCCTGTCTTTCTTGAACTGGACACTATTCCAGATGTGGTCTCACCAGAGAAGAGGAGGAGGATAATCTCCCTTGACCTGCTGTCCACACTCTTCTTAATGCACCCCAGGATACCATTGGCCTTCTTGGCCACAAGGGCACATTGCTGGCTCATGGAGAGCTTGTTGTCCAACAGGACTCCCAGGTCCTTCTCCACAGTGCTGCTTCCCAGCAGGTCAACCCCTAACCTGTACTGGGTGCTTAGGGTTGTTCTTCCCTAGGTGTAGGACCCTACACTTGCCCTTATTGAATTTCATTAGGTTCCTCTGTGCCCAGCTCTCTAGTCTGTCCAGGTCTCATAGAATAGCAGCACAGCCTTCTGCTGTGTCAGCCACTCCTCCCAGCTTAGTATCCTCAGCAAATTTGCTGAGGGTACACTCTGTCCCCACGTCCAGGTCATTGATGAATATGTTGAACAAGACTGGACCCAGTACCGACCCTTAAGGCACACCACTAGATACAGGACTGCAACTAGACTCTGCACCACTTATCACATTCCCTTTCTGCAAGTAATTTTTTGTTATTCCATATGACAGCACAAGCAGCCCACAAGCCTCAAAGGCAAAGCTCTGGAAGCCCTCTATACTATTTAGACAGTATGGTAGGAACAAAGTGGAGGAGTTAGTATTGAGTGATCTTTGTTTAGAAGACATTTCTTACGGAGTTTTAAACATCAGCCTAAAGTAGTTCCCTCAAGCAGCATGTGCAAACATGACAGTTGGCACTATAGATGTGAGCTACTTTGGATGCTGGTTTCAAATGTAAAGCCATGACTTGTTATTTCATAAGGGGATCCAACATACAGATCATCTTAAACTACTTGGGGCATAGGGTTTAGACAAAATGAAGTTAATGTTTTGTATCAAGAGCCCTTACAAAAAGCTGTTCCATCTTTTTCATTTATATGTATGAACATGATCAGGTAGCCCTTAAACAAGATTTAACTTGTCATCTTGGTGAGTCATCAAGAAAGGTCTAGATCCTTTCTTTCTTATTACATACATAGCACAAACTTTCTGTGATTCTTTTGACAGCTTCCACAAGTGCAGCATTTCAGATCTCATTTGAAAAATGGGTAACACCTGCAGCTCTTAATATGCATGTATCACATTTTAAACTATTGCCAAGTTGAAACACTAGCCATAACACATCTAGTTATTGAACCATAAAGCAGACACTTGAGCACTACTAAAGACCACACTTAAAGCTTTTTAGGGCACTGGCAAAGACAAAGAGTCTAAGAAGCTGCTGACATTCAATAAAATGACATTTAATACTGGAAGATATCTATACTACCAAAACACATCTTAGTGGGGTATCTTCCATCCCCTATTTTGCATAACTGATAGTTACACAAATAAGCATACAACTGTTTACTTAGCATTATGCAAGATTTATGTAGCCATCAGCAAGACAAAGCAGTAATCTTCCCCTACTTCTCAAAATTCTTTTAGCAACTCTAGAGTTTGGCCAGTACTCTTCATCCCAACTAACAGAAGCCCAGGGTACAGCCTGACACTCTGGCAATTCTTAATTTATTAGAATTTATCAATAGGATGTGACACATTTCTAAAACAATTCACACCTATAAGTCGCAATTTACTTTAAGTCATCACTGAACCAGAAATTTCAGGAAACATCCACAAGCACTGAGGGAGCTGCTGACATCAGGCCACTGTTTATCAGAGAGTCATTTAGGTTGGAAAGTACCTTTAAGATCATCAAGTTCAACCACTAACCTAGCACTGCCACATCCAACCACTAAACCACATATACATATCTTTAGTACCTCCAAGGATGGTCACTCAACCACTTCCCTGGGAAGCCTGTTCCACTGACCAATAACACTTTTGGTAAAGAAGCTTCTCCTAATAGCCAACATCCCCAGCAAAACTTGAGGCCATTTCCTCTCATCCAAGGGTTTGTTAATTCAGAGAAGAGACTGACAACCACCTGGCTACAACCTCCTTTCAGGTAGCTGTAGAGAGGGATAACATCTCCCCTCAGCCTCCTTTTCTCCAGGCTAAACAACCCCAGTTCCCTCAGCTGCTCCTCATAAGACACATGCTCTAGACCCTTCACCAGCTTTGTTGCCCTTCTCTGGACACACTCCAGCACCTCCATGTCCTTCTTGTAGTGAGGGGCCCAAAACTGAACACAGCACTTGAGGTGCAGCCTCACCAGTACCAAGTACAGGGGCACAATCACTTCCCTAGTTCTGCTGGCCACACTATTCCTGATACAAGCCAGGATGCCATTGGCCTTCTTGGCCACCTGGGCACACTGCTGGCTCATATTCAGACAGCTGTTGACCAATACTCCCAGGTCCTTTTCTTCCAGGCAGCTTTCCAGCCACCCTCCCCAAGCCTGTAGTGTTGCCTGGGGTTGTTGTGACCCAAGTGCAGGACCCAGCACTGAGCCCTGTTGAATCTCATACAGTTGGCTTGGCCCACTGATCCAGCCTGTGGAGATCCCTCTGCAGAGCCTTCCTACCCTCCAGCAGATCAACACTCCTGCACAACTTGGTGTCATCTGCAAACTTTATGAAGGTGCACTTGATCCCTTGTCCAGATCATTGATAAAGATATTAAAGAGAACTGGCCCCAGTACTGAGCCCTGAGGAACACCACTTGTGACTGGCCACCAACTGGATTTAACTCCATTCAGCACAACTCTATGCCCAGCCATCCAGCCAGTTTTTTTACCCAGCAAAGCATGCACCTGTCCAAGCCATAAGCAGCCAGTTTCTCCAGGAGAATGCTGTGGGAAACAGTGTCAAAGGCTTTACTAAAATCTAGGCAGACAACATCCACAGCCTCTCCCTCATCCACTAAGCGAGTGACCTTGTCATAGGAGATCAGGTTAGGCAAGCAGGACCTGCCTTTCATGAACCCATGATGGCTGGGCCTGATCACCTGGTGGTCCTGTATGTGCCATGGGATGGCACTCAAGATGATCTGCTCCATAACCTTTCCCCAGCACTGAGGTCAGACTGACAGGCCTGTAGTTTCCCAGATCCTCCTTCTGGCCCCTTTGCCTTTTCCTCATCCTTTGTCACTATTTTTCTCCTCACTTCCAATAAAGGACAGAGTCTCCTTAGCCCTCCTTTTGTTGTTAATGTATTTATAGAAACATTTTTTATTGTCTTTTACAGCAGTAGCCAGATTAAGTTCTAGCTGGGCTTTGGCCCTTCTAATTTTCTCCCTGCATAGCTTCACAACATCCTTGTAGCCCCCCTGAGCTGCCTGCCCATTCTTCCAAAGGCCATAAACTCTCCTTTTTTTCCTTGAGTTCCACCCAAAGCTCTCTGTTCTGCCAGGCCAGTCATCTTCCCTGACAGCTCATCTTTCACCACATGCCTTGCTCTTGCACCTTTAAGATATCCTTCTTGAAGGATGTCCAGCTTTCCTGGACTCCTCTGCCCTTCAGGACTGCCTCCCAAGGAACTCTGTCAAGCAGGCCCCTAACAGGCCAAAGTCTGCCCTCTGGAAGTCCAAGGTAGGAGTTCTGCTGATCCACCTCCTTACCTATCCAAGAATAAAAACCTACCATTTCATGATCACTATGCCTAAGACAGCCTTTTTAAAGGTCATGGTCATCAGGGAACATTCTTGATGGCTGAAGCAAACCAAGTATCAGTCCTATCTTCAAGAGGAAGTAGGAGGATCTGGTGATTAACAGGATGGTAAGACTCACCATGATCCCTTGGAAGGTGATGTAGTGAACAGCCCTGGGAAACCATTTCCAAACATATAAAGGACAAGGTAACTGTGAGTAGCCTTCATGGATTTATCCACACCAAACTCAGAACCTTCATCAATATGAGTACCTCCACAGTGAGACAAAAGCAGCTGATGTTGTCCATGTAGTAGGGCTTTTGACTGTCTCCCATATCATCCTCATGTCAACTGAGGAGGTACAGGCTAGAGAAACAAACAGCAAGATGGACTCAAAACTGACCTGCCTGGCTCAAACAGTTTAGTTAGTGGCATCACAAGTCCAGCTGGTGGCCAGACACTAGTGCTGTGCTCTGAGGGTCAATACTGTTTAACATCAATGACCCAGATGATGGGACAGAGTGCAGCTTCAGCAAGTTTACAACTAATAGAAAACTGGAGAAGTGATTCAAACACCAGAGGCTTGCAATGATGCTTACAAGTACATTGACAAGCTGGACAAACAGGCAGACAGCAACCTCATTTAGTTCAAAGGGAAGTGCAAAGTCCTGCACCCATGGAAGAATAACCCCATGCACCAGAACAGACTAGCAACCAAACAGCTAAAAAACAGCTTTGCAGAAGAGGACCTGGAAGTCCTAACAAGCTGAACACTAGACAGGAATGCATGCTCGAAGACCATCATCCTGGGCCACACTAGAACAGCATTGCCAGCACCCTGAAGGTGGTGATCCTTCCTCTCAGCACTGGTGCAAGTTTTCGCAAGCGACTTGATTTCTACTGTTTTGCAGAAGAGTTTTAAAAGGATTTTTTAAAGGAAAGATTTGTTCCATCTTTGGTATTTTTTAAAGAATACTAGTTCTAGTGAATTCTGTCCCCATCTCAATGTGATTTCTCATTAAATACTTGAGTG